TAAACAACTCATTACCATTGTCGGTGATTAGGGATATGAATGATATTTTGTATGAGTCCGAGAAGAAAGGGAGAATTCCCCACCCTGGATGGAGGATTCGAGGCTTTCAAGAAGTTTTTTGTCTAGTGGTCTACGAGATTTTCCTTTCGATGGGTATCAATGGACCTGGGAGCGAGGGAAAGGCTCTATAAATTAGGTGCAAGAAAAGTTGGATTGCATTCTTGTTAACGATTAGTGGTGGGGCAATTTCATGGCGGATCGAGCTACTTCGGTTGAAGCTCCTATCAGTGATCATATGGCGATATGGCTTAAAATTGTTCCTACTTCGCATGGGAGGGCAACAAAAAAGTTCCGTTTTGAAAATAATTGGCTGAAAGAGAATGAGTGTCGTACCATTGTGGCAAACAGTTGGAGTGCTAGTTCGTTTTGAAAATAGTGGGCTGAAAGTTCCGTTTTGAAAATAATTGGCTGATAGGATTATTTTTAGTGGTAAAGAGTTACTAGGTGGGATGGTTGTCGCTCGAAAGGTTTTCGGCATCAGATTCAAGCCCATAAAAAAGACTAACATCATTGAGGGGGTATGATGATCTGGTCAGCACGACCAAGTTTCTTCGAATTCGCATGGTGCTCTATGTTTTGTTGGAAAAGGAGAATCAATATTGGAGGCAGAGGGAAAAGGAGTTTTGGCTGAAAGAAGGGGATACAAACTCTCGATTTTTTCATATGCCGTTAAAACTCGAAGAAGAAACAATATAATGGTTGGTTTGCGTCGTGAGGATGGCTTGTGGATCACGAACAAGGGAGAGGTTGAAGACATGGCGCGGAATTATTTCACGAGTTTATTTATTGAGCATGAGTCACCGGCGATGGGGGAGGAGGTTGGCCAGTTTTCGAGGGTGAGCAGTGAGCAGAATAGAAGACATCTTTGTGCAGTTTCACCGGATGAAGTTAAAACGGTAATTTTCAGTATGCACCCCGAAAAAGCACAAGGATCGGATGGCATGAATCCGACATTCTTTCAGAAGTTCTGGGATATTGTTGGTCCAGAGGTCACTCGGCTTTGAACAGGTATTTTTGAATCGGGACATATCCAAAAGGAATTAAACATTACTAACATTGTTTTAATTCCTAAAAAGGAGAAACATGATCGTATGGGAGACTGTAGACCAATAGCTCTTTGTGACGTGGTGTATAAAATTTTCTCAAAGGTTTTTTGCTAATTGACTCAAAGGGATATTGGGGAATTTAAAAGGGAAAAACCAAAGTGCATTTATCCCCGGTAGCTCTATTGTGGATAATAATATTTGTAGCCTTTGAATCTCCACATTCCCTAAAACGAAAGAAGTATGTAAAGGAAGGATTTGTTGCTTGATTTTTCCAATGACCATGTTCCTTACAATACGCACATTCTTGAGTGGTCATATTTTGATTCCCCATATGTCGATTCTGTGAAAATTTATGTGTACAAGCAGCCATAGCAGAAGAGTCTCTATTGTGAGGAACAACGAGCACAGAAGGTGTGGAAACATGAGTCGCCTTAGTTGTATGAGTTTTAAGACGAGTTTCCTCAGCAAGTAACTCATGAACCACATAATCAACATAAGGCAGTGGATCGGAGTACGATGTAAAATTAACCCACACATTAGTTCCAACTCACCACGAAGAGCCATTAAAAATTGAACCAAATGTTGTTCTTCCCTACGAGCAATATAAGTAGCAAAGGCTCGCAATTCAGCAGACTCGGTTGCAGCCAATTGATCCCAAAGCATAGTCATCTTGTTGTAGAATTCTTCAATACCCATATCCTCAGTTTGAACCAAAGCTCGAATATCAACCTCTAATTGATACTAAACAGCAAAGTTTGAGCGCGCATATAACTTATGCAGATAATTCCAAACCTATTTTGCAGTCTCATATTTTGCCAACTGCATACCAATTCTATGTTCAACAGAATTATTTATCCATGTGATGATTTTTGAGTTATCGGTATCCCAAACATCTAGCAACTCCTCAAAATTTTCTCCATCAACAGATTTTGTAGGGATAGTAGCTGCACCAGAGATATACTTCCACATTTTCTTTCCTTTTAAAAAAAAAATCATCCCAAAGCTCCAATGCGTATAGTTTGTACCATCCAGTCGAACACTAATAGACTGCAAAGAATCCTCTCCCCCAGCCATAGTGATAACAAACAAATTGACAAACCCAACAACAAAGCTAGCAAGTCCAACAAGTTCCAAATCTGTCCTCAAGTGAAGGCAAGTGCGGAAACACAAAATAGTGGAAATCGAACATGAATTCAAATATCATAGCAGCATGAGAAATATTGCGGAAGACAAGAGACCCAGCAGCTTCACAATCCAGAATTGAAGCAGCAGTCGAAGAAAAGAAAAAATCGAGGTGAACCCTTGTGAAGCTCTTGATACCATGATAAAGCCATTAGAGAAAGAACACCCAAGGTTGAAGAAGACATACGTAAATTGAATGCTTAAGAGTTAAGAAAGAAAGCATACAAGAAGTGGTCTTATGTACAACCCCTAATCTAAACATACAAGGTAAATGACCAAACTCCTCATCCTCCTTATTTTTCTCAACCTTCTTCTTCTTCATTGTTATGCTTCTCCTCTGATTTTTTATTTGTCGATTTTTATTTTTGAAAACAAAAATTTATGTTTGATATTTCGGTTTTTTATTTTTTTAATATTTTTGAAAACAAAAATTATATCATTATTATTATTATTATTATTATTATTATTTTCCCAAACAATACCATCTATTGGAAGTTAATTTCAGAATAATATGAGTACCTTTATAATATTATTCCTTTGAATATGAAAAACTCACTTTAAGCATGATTGTCATTTTTATGGCATTAATGTCATTTTTTCAATCTAATATGTCATTTTATTTCAGTCGAGATGGCAATAATGACAATTTTATTTCAGTCAAGATGGCAATAATGACAATATGATAACACTTCAACTGCAAGATGACACATGTCTTTTTAATATCAATCCTCTAAATGTGAAAATTCCACTTCGAAAATAAATGCTATTTTTATGGAACTAAAGATATAAAGATGTCAATAATACTCTTATGAAAGACATTAATGCCATTTTTCAAACTGAAAATGAAATCTTATTTCTCTCAGGATGGCAATATTATCATTAAGATGACATTACAATTGCAAGATGGTATTTGTACGACAATATTATCAAATCACAAACCAGATCTCAGAGCCCACCCCCAACGGCTCTATGCCTCTATTGATTCAAATTTCAATAGAGCCGTTTGGGGCTTTTGAATTTTGATTTCAATTTTTTTTTGTATGTTTTATTTTGAATAAATTAAAAAATGTAAAATTAATTGCAACAAATATATTAATAAAAATATATTAATAAAAAATTGGAGTTATAGCAAATTAGTATTTTAAAGTTTACGTTAATCAAATTAACTAGTGAATTAACTAGTTTTGTGTACAACCTATTTTTTTTACTAACAATGAAATTAATATACTTTAACTTTAACTATAATGAGAATTAACTAGTTTTTTAAACTAGATTCAAATGTAGCAATTAATAAAAAATTGTAATAAAGTAATTAACTATTAATCTAACTATTAATTCGAGTTATAGCAAATTAGTATTTTAATGTTTACTTTAATCAAATTAACTAGTGAATTAACTAGTTTTGTGTACAACCTTTTTTTTTTACTAACAATGAAATTAATATACTTTAACTTTAACAATAATGAGAATTAACTAGTTTTTTAAACTAGAGTCAAATGTAGCAATTAATAAAAAATTGTAATAAAGTAATTAACTATTAATCTAACTATTAATTCAAGTTATAGCAAATTATTATTTTAAAGTTTACTTTAATCAAATTAACTAGTGAATTAACTAGTTTTGTGTACAACCTATTTTTTTTACTAACAATGAAATTAATACACTTTAACTTTAACTATAATGAGAATTACAACTAGTTTTTTGTACAACCTATTTTTTATACTAACAATCAAATTATTATAGTTTAACTTTAACTATTATGAGAATTAACTAGTTTTTTTTCAAGTAACGTTAATACAAAATTAAACAAGTGTAAATAATAGAATAATTTCGTACCTCTTTCGGACTTTCGGTCTTTCGGATAGGAGTAATAGAATGACTTCAAATTAATTAGATATAATTCCAACTATATTAATAGATATAATAAATGTATAAGTAATATATAATTAGATAACAAATATAAGTAATATAATATTATAATGTATGTATTTATAAATTATAAGTAGATAATTAATATAAAGTAGATATATAAATAATAAATATAATATATTGGAGAATAAGAGAATTAGAGAGTAGAGAGTTAAGAATAGGATTTAGGAAGAATTGGAGAAGAGATATGAAAAAATGTTTAAGATTAGGAGTATTTATAGTTTTTTTTACCCCACCCCCAAACCCCCCGGACCCCCCCTGCACCCCACCCAACGGCTATATAGCCGTTTGGGTTGTCCCCAGCCCACCCCCAACGGCTATTTTGGCCAAAAAAAATAAAAAATATGACCGTTGGACCCAGACCCGGGCCCGACCCGGACGGGCCGGGTCAACTTTTTCCGGAACCGAGCCCGCCCCGCCCATCCCCACCGGTTCGGGTCTACACCCGGTCCCGGACCGCCAGACCGGGCCGGTCCCGGGCCCGCACAGTAGCGGGCTGGGGCGGGTCACGGGCCGGGTGGCCCGAACCGAATCCACCCCTAATTGCAGAGGCTGCATCGTATTGTCTAGGCCTGCTATCAGTTTTATTTCTATTATTTTAATTGAATTGTTAATAAATACTAATTTATTCATTAAGGGTAGTTTTGTCTATCTATCTCTTTTTAGTCCTACGGAAGATAACCGAACATTACAGTCCTATTGTTGAACTTTTAACATTATTTGGTCTTACTTGGAGAATTGTCTCAAAAATAAATGTATATCAACTCGTGTGATCGTGAGACATGATTGATTGGTTATAACAGTTACCGGGATTTCACCTTCATCAATGAATGGCTAAAAATTATACTTGGGTTTTCTACCAAATTACATCGCACTACGCAGAAACTGAAATTTAAACTTGAGTTTCTACTTTCTCACAATTTACAATTTTAAAGCAACATGCTATACTTTCCTACAATTGCACGTTGCATTTGTACATCCTCCATACTGTTGCGAGAAACTCGATGAACTAAAAATCTGAATTGACAGAGAACAACTAGCAAGTCCATTCATGATCCTGATCCCTCTTAAGAGCTATCTATAAAGAGAATATTAGGTGGCATGAAAAATTAAATAGATGATAGGGCTGATCAATATTCTTGACTGTGATCATCATCTAGGTCCAGAAAGCTCCATAGCTTCAACGATCAAGGAAGATTCTTCAATGAAGTCGGAGTATCGTTGGGGCATGTTTTCAAGGGTGGTACGATACCTTGTAGTATTATTATTGCTTTGTGAAGCCTCCCATTTTTCAGCTAGCCCATCGCCTTCCAGCATCCTCAACACTTCTGACATTTTCGGACGATGAGAAGGATTGAATTGAGTTGATAGTAGGGCTACCTGAACCATCTCTTCTAACTCAACACTGTCATAGTTGTTTTTTAAATCTTTGTCCACCATCACACTTAATTTCTTTTCCTGATGGAGCGACTTCGCCTGCCAGTGAATTAACAAGAAACAGACTGGTTCATGAAATGGCAAAATAAGCATGTAAAGGACAAAAGGTAGCCGTGTGTGTAGCGGGTTGGGGGTCACCACACAAAAGGCCTCATTTGGATTGATTTGGTCTTCACTAAGAATCAGAATTCAACTACTCGGATTTGAACAACTACCAATTGGATAAAATCATGTTTGGTTGATAAGATCCCGAGAATGTGATTCCATACATTTCTCCAACTACAATAAAGTGCATATCACATCCCTAGTTTTTAATTTTCACTTTTAGTAGCACAACTGCATATATTCCCTTAACACAAACAAAAAAAGAAAGGAATGCATTATCTAAACTTATCCCTATTAATGCAACAATGTTATAATACCAGATCTTACTGTCTGCAGTATAAAAATGGCTGAATGGGCAATAAGATGCAAAAGAAAAAAGGTACGAGAGATATCGTACCCAGTCAAGTATAACTCCTTTCTGGTTATTAGCACCTCTCCCGAAGTCAACAGCTTTCTGACCCGTTATTAGTTCAAGAAGAAGGATTCCAAAACCAAACACATCGGTCTTTTCAGATGATTGGCCCGTAGACAAATACTCAGGAGCTATGTGGCCAACGGTGCCCCGCACAGCAGTCGACACGTGAGATTCATGATGATCCAAGAGCTTTGCTAACCCAAAATCTCCAACAACTGCCTCAAAGTCTTCATCCAACAGGATATTGGCTGCTTTCACATCACGATGGATGATTTTGGGGTCACACTGTTCGTGCAAATACACCAACCCCCTTGCAGTCCCTACTGCTATTCTTTTCCGCCTTGACCAGTCCAATACAGGCCTGCCATGGATATGATCTGAAAAAAGCCAAATCCACAGTAGGATATGTATACTTGTACAACTAGGATCTCCTCGGTAGCTTCAATTGGACGGCATATTCTTTTTCAATCCCATAAAGTTTTCCAACAAAATCAGCAGAGTAAGAGCATTTCTATTGGCGGTTCTTATCATGTTTATTAACAAAAAGATTACAAAATAAGTAGTCTTTGACTGGCTTATTTGACTGAATCGGATTTTAACAAATGATTTTTCATTTTAGAAAAGTCAGTAGATTCAGCCATTTAAACAAAATAACCTCTAGCAGGCTCTTAGGGTATGTTTGGGAGTTTGAAGGGAAGGGGAGGGGAAGGTTTTGGAGGTAAGTCATTGGAAGGGAAGGAGAGGGAAAGGGTTGGAAACCCTTCTTGTTTGGGAGTATCAAGTTTGAAAAGATAAAGGTTTTGGATGAATTATAATTAAAATCACTTCACATATATGACGAATTCAAATAATTGAGTTTATATTTATTTAAAATTGAGCTAAAATTGTCATTTAATTAGTTATGCTTCAAAATCCCCCAATTTGGGGGAACTTGAAAATTGAGCATTTGAAGGGATTTGGAGGGTTACAAAAGCCCTCCAAAACCATCCCCTCCATATTTTTTAACTCCCAAACTTGAAAGGGAGGGTCATAAACCATTGTCAACCATCCCCTCCCCTCCAAAACCCAACTCCCAAACATACCCTTAGAGATTGTCATTGGAACGGCCAGAGTTAGGGGGCTCACCCCAGGTCATGTCTATTACATCCTTTGTGCCTATATATTCCCACACTTGCGATGCAAGATGATGTGCAGAGTTAGTCACACAAAAGAGGCTCAATAAATTAGATATGTAATTTTTAAGAAATTTTATTCCAATATTATTGGTAAACTGTTTTACGATTAAAACTTATATGAAATTATTATTTTTCACTCAAAGTTTGGCAACCTTTTTGTCAACTAAAATATAACTCATTGATAAAAAGTATGACTACAATTACTATAGTCAATGAAGAAAATAGCACAATGGTCACTGCGGTGTAAAATCGAACATTATCTTGGTCACTACAATTACTATAGCCACTATAGTCACTTTGAAGAAAATAGCACAATAGTCACTGCGGTGTAAAATCGAACATCATCTTGGTCACTACAATTGCTGCAAAAAAACTATTATGGTCAGTTGGTCTGCGTATAAAAAGTTACATTTTTATCGTTTATTTTTAATTTAGTCATATGTCATTATTCTTGAACTAACTGGCAGGAAACTTGTGTTGCAGAAAAAAGTAAGCACTAAAAAGGATTTCTTTACTGACCTTTTAACCTTGACGCTACACTCCCGTTTGGCATATAAGGGTAAACAAGGAGCCTCTCGTTCTCAGTTGAACAGAATCCCCACAGTCGAAGAAGATTCCGATGTACTGCCAAACTAATCATCTCCACTTCTGTCTGGAATTGGATTTCACCACCAGCAGCATTATAGTCTTTCACCCTTTTGATGGCCACAAAAGTACCGTCGTTTAAGGAACCCTTGTATACTATACCGAACCCTCCCGTACCCAAAATATTCTTAGAACTGAAATGGTCCGTTGCCGCCCTCAATTCCTTGTAGGTGAACCTCCTCAAATGACCCAGACATACCTCCGGATCATAGCTATCTGCCAATTTACAATTTCTGAGATATAGGTCCCATTTGGCAAAGGGTTATTTGGCTGAAATTACCGATGGATCTCCACAATTGTTTGAAAGGAAAAGTATATTGTAACATCCATTACAGCCAAATAAAGTAAGTCAAAATTACTTGCTCTCTATATTTTGATCATTCTGCTTATCCTGGCGACCAGAATAGGCATATCAATGTAATGAAAAAAAGAACAGCTTTTGTAGAGCAAGTTATACACTTATACAAAAAGAAGATTCCATGAAAAGATTATAGGATTAAAAGGGAAATCTATAAGAATTAAGTGTCAAAGTTATTCTTAATGGATCAAAGCAAATTCATGAAAAGGATTCGAATAGTATTTCACAGCTTTAGAAACAGTTTTATATACTCCGTATAAATAAATACACTAACCGTTTAGATCAAAAAAGATCTGCTGATTGCGTCTATAGCGCCACCATACAAGCGACACAAATAGGACGATTAAGAACAAGGCGCTAAAACTTGTCCCAAAAGCAATAGCCACATGATGTTTTTTTGTTCCGGCATATTGACCTATGAAAATCAACCACAATACATTCATTCACTCATAGTCTCAATCTGCAACTATCTACCTACCTAATCAGGTATCATTTTCAGTGTTTTGAGGTCAGAAGTCAAAGGTATTGTGTTCCATAATAACTCACCTCTTACATTATTGGACGTAAAGGGCAGCGCTTCTGGATAGATTGCGGAACAATTGTTCTTGGAACTCTGCCCACAAATTAAAGAATTGCCAATAACTCTGAAATCCAAAAACAAAGAAAGAAAGAAAGAAAGAAAGAGATGTGCTCAGCTCTTTATTTACTTGCAGATAAAACTATACATCCATGGACCTAATAGAACACATTAAGTTTACATGTGATTAGCCAATACATATGCTGTGCATAAACTACTCACTTGAAAGTTCTTGCAGGTAGTTTTGGGGGTCTACCACTGAGATTATTAAAAGATACGTCCCTAGAAGGATGTCAACACGAATTAGGCAGCTTGCAAGAAACTGTGAAGTGTCAACTAAAGATGAAGGAAAGGAGCATACACAAGAGTAAGGCCATCAAGTTTAGAAAGAGATTCTGGAATCTGCCCTGAAAGGCTATTGTTGTTAAGTCTCCTGGAACGTTCACATGAAAACAATCACAGTTCTGCACTTCGTATAATGTATACCACCAAATTGTGAACTTCCACAAACTTACAAATAATTCAAATTGCCTAGTTCACCCAATGAGCTAGGTATATCACCATCAAACTTGTTGTTGGAGAGATCAAGCGTCTGAAGGTTTTCTAACTTCCCGATCTCAGCCGGAATATTCCCACAAATGGCATTGTTTTGTAGCAACCTACATTAATATGGCGTGACCCCCATTATTGTTAGCATTCTTATACTGCTATTCTCATAGTTGGTTTGAACAACAGTCTCAGAACTGTTATGGTAAAATGGCATATAACTAAAGTTTACAAAAGCTAAGATTGAAGAAGTGGAAAGGTATAAACAAGCTCAAGTACTTACACAGACTCTAACTTAGTTAAGTTTCCAATTCCGGGAGATAAGGACCCAGATAAATTCTGACTGGGTAGTCCCCTGTTTGGGTTGACAGCATATCAGCAATGAATAACAAATACGTAGTACTTCATAATTAAATACTCCGTAGTGTTTATTCCGTAATAGATAAATAAAAACTGATACCATCTTCTAAGCACTTACAACGCAGAAACATAGCCATCAGGGGTACAGGTAACCATCCTCCAACTGCAGGGGTCTACGGAGTTAATATCCCAGTTATCCAGGACATTGTGAGGATCGTGTAAGGCAGTCTTTATAGCAAACAAGGCCACCACTGTGAACCGTTAATTTCAGAATTAGGATATGTTAGTAACTTTTTTCACCATCAAACTAACTAGTGAAATTTCAATGCAACACAGTGGCTAGTGAACTTTGAAAAGGAAACTGAGTTTTCAGATGAAAACTAAAAGATAGAGAAACTGAACTTTCCACAAGATTGGGAGTAAAAGAAGCATTTCTACAAAGAAGAAACTTAGTAGTGAAATTAAAGATTGTTTGAAGCTAACCTTCATAGTTTACACCAGATGGAGAAAGAGTAGCAGAACAAATCTCAACTAATGCCCAAATCGCCATTCCCAGTACTTCCCATAGTAGACACTTCATTTCCTTCAACTAGCCTTTTGTATATCTCACTTCACAATTTTTATCTTTGTATTAAGACGAAATACTCACTACTTTCTCAGCAACAACAACAAAATGGAATGCATAACTATTGAGAAAGACGTCTTCAGTAAAAGCAGACACTCCATGTACAACTTCACAAACTCTACATTTTCTTCATCCAAGCATCAAGGCTTAAAAGCATAATCCACTAGAAATGGATTATGCTTTAATTGAGAAAGCTAAACAGGGCCGGATGTGTGAACAGGGCCAGCTAAATCAGCAAGAGAAAAAGGGGGGATTTTTAATTGAAAAAGCAATCCTGGAATTCTGGTAAGCTTGAGATCTGGAAGTGCCGGATATGTGATTTCTATTTTAACAAATACCCAAGAATTCCATGCGGCTTCTTCATCTTGTCACCCACTTCGATCCTTTCCCACAACCATATCCCCTCTCAAGATCATCATCATCTTCATGTCCATACATATGTATATATGTACGACTATACATATACATATAATATATTCTTTTCTTAATTATTATTCTTTTGATACGAAATACGAGTATGGTAGTGCACCAGAGAGGTCACAAACACGCGAGAGAGGCCAAAACAGTAGGACAAGGACTTTGCAGAGACTGATGTCGACAGTTTGGGGGGGAAAGAATAAAAGAGATTAAAAGAAGACAAAATAAAAACTTCTTCTATTCCTAAAATCAAGTTTAATAGGTACGAAGAATATTTAAAATAAAACATGTGCTTGAAATTTGGGAGAAGAGATAAAAATAATATGAATTGTGAATTTAAATTAGTTGATTAAAAGAAAAAGTGATAAAGGTTTTGAGACACTGCAAAAAAAGATGATATGATTTTAAGGGATCGGTGAAGTACATATTAATCACATTTGATTGTCTCTTAAAGGCCATTTGATAAAAGGTAAAATAATTATTTTTACATGTGACGCGTAGGGATGTAAGAGGTTAAATCCGAAAAAAATGTTTGGTATCTTTCTGAAGAGAGTGAATTTGGACCATGGGTAATAAAACTAGTTTGGGCCCACTATAAGATCTGTTTCAACTAGTATATTCAAGACATACTTACGTTGGCATATGAACGTAACAATAGGATTATGAGCCACCTGTATCCCAAGAAAGTAGCACATTCGACCCTGGTGGATAGTCTACCCGGGGGTATATATCCGAAGGGTTATTACGGGGAATAACTTAGAGAGAAGTCAGAGTAAGTAAGTAAAAGTAGAGAGAGAGTGTATTCAGTATGAATGCCGTTTTCAGCGTGGTTACAAATGAGGAAATGGGGTGCTATTTATAGCAGCAATAAATGCCGGGCAGGGACACGTGTCAAGCGCTCATTGGCCGAGGGGTCACCTCAACTGGTTGGTGCTGGCAGCCGCATGTGGCCGCATTTAATGCGGCTGTTGAATGGGACGTCTATGCAGGGTACGGTGATCTGTACGCATGTGAGGCGGATATCTTGTCGAGTGAAATGCCTTCGGCTATAGAGCAGTAGCCGAGGGCTCTTCCACCCGATGGCACCATGGTGCCGAGGGCTCACAATGCTGAGGGCTACTGTTTTCGCCGTTTTCTCCCAGTTTCTTAATTTGCTTGAGAAACCCGTTCTGTGAGAATTTGGAGCCTTCGGCCAGGGGGCCGAAGGCACCCCCTGGCGCGTAGTGCGGACTGTCTGGTACTCTGGGCACTGTGATTTGGGCCTGTTGGGCCTTTTGGGCCTTTTGGGCCTTCGCTGGAGTAGTAGGAGTCTGTGGGCCGGGGGTTCCCGGGCCATATACTCCATCAGACCCAAATTCTTTATAGGAAAAGATTTAGCAAGAAAAACTTTAAAATCATCAATCATATCATGAACATTTTATGTTATAAAAAGATTATCAAAATACACACAAAATTTGATGGGCAAGACGTAAGGTAAAGAGTGAGTAATCGGCATAGGACTAAGCAAAACCATAAGATTTAAGTGCACCACTTAATTTTGAAAACCAACAGCGTGGTGCATGTTCAAAGTTCATAAAGTGGTCGTAAGAGCTTACACGCTTTACCAGGTGTCGGAGTGGAATAACCCGACTGGTGGATGCATATACACCTCCTCGTGCAAGTCCTCATGTAAGAATGCATTCTCAACATCAATTTGATGTAATTCCCAATCCCGAACTGCCGCTAGAGCCAAAATAGTACGAACAATGACCATTTTACCAAATTCGCGTATTTGATGAAAAATGACTGATAAACAAAAAACAGTATCATCAATTGGGCTCTTAATTTAATTATTTAATTGAGCCGTTGAATACCACTGATGTGTTGGGATTGCTTTTGAATTCGTCCTTGCTTATCCATCCGGGAGCTAGACATTCCATCATTTGTGGTTTGGTGAGATTATTATCATAAAATCATAAAAGTATATAATTATAAATCATATATAAATATAATCATTGAAGTTATTGTACAAAGTTTTCAAATCAAGAAAAGTCGATATGACAAACCTTTTCGGGACAAATGTAGTATTCTCCATAGAAGTACTAGTGACAAGCAGGCTATATGAAGAATAACTAATGTTTCAGACACGAAACCCAAAAATATGGTGATACATACATACATATATATATATATATATATATATATATATATATATATATATGTCTCTCATTCAGCCGATGATACATACTGTATATATACTCGTAAAATACTCAACCCGTAGGTTATTTACTTTAAAGAGTCTTTTAGAGATAAAGTTCTTACTTGACTTTTCTCACTCTTTTCCCGGTTGCCTAGCTCACAAGCTATAGTTTACCTTCGATTCATACTACCGAGTGTTTAGGATCATTTACCGTCCAAGGCACTCAACCCAACCTGGAGTATTTAAGATCATTTACCGTCCAAGGGTACTCGACCCCACCTGGAGTATTCTGGATCATTTACCGTCCAATGGTACTCGACCCCACCTGGAGTATTCTGGATCATTTACCGTCCAAGGGTACTCGACCCCACCTGGAGTATTCTGGATCATTTACCGCCCAAGGGTACTCGACCCCACCTAGAGTATTCTGGATCATTTACCGTCCAAGGGTACTCAACCCCACCTGGAGTATTCTGGATCATTTCTTGTCCAAGGGTACTCAATCCCCAGTCTATTCTCTACCAAATCCTAACCTGGATATGGCTAACCTTTAATTCCCTTAACTATGGGCAATACCTAGCCCTATAGTCATATAAACATCCTTAGTAATCAACGTGGATGGGTCCCACCTGAACGACCCACGTTAACCTACTCACAAATTGCTCGTTTTGAGTATAACCCAATACTCGATCGAGTACACATCTATACTCGGTCGAGTACAGGAGACAGTAGCCCGTAAGGTTAATTTTCAATGTATACTCGATCGAGTATCTACCTATGCTCGATCAGGTATAGGAGGCAGTTGACTTGGCGGTTACTGTACCCCCTGGGGCAAATTTTCAGCAAATACCCGGTCGGGTACTTGTCAATACCCGATCGGGTATGGCAGTTGACTTGGCGGTTAACGCCCGTTTGACCACCCAAACAGAGTCCAATTAACGTGAAATTTTACACACATGTACTTCTTGACTCCTCAATCCAAAAATACCATTTTGGATCCCTGGAACATCGCACATAATAATTTATCACATTTTAACCATCAAACGTAAATAACATGCTTTTCAACTATGTTTTATATATATAATCATGGCATAAGCAAATACTTGATTATCCTTAATCATTCCATAAAACATATTTTTGATTACTTTAGGTAATCTCATGCCTCACGCAAAAGTTATAAAGCATAAAGTCGTCTTCTCACCTTAAATGAAGCTTTAATGCGTTCTACCCTTCTTGGTTGAACTCCGGCGAAACTCCGGTGAGTTTTGTTGAACTCCGGTGAAACTCCGGCGAAGTATTCCAACTTCGTAGAAGTGCTAGGAACACCTTAGACAAGTTCCTAACAAGGTTTCATAATCATAAAACCCATATTAATACAAATAACCTCTAAAAGGTTATTTTCCGGCGAACCGGTCGTTTTGGCTTCTAAATCCGTTTTTAGACTTAGAATCACTTTCCAACCCATTATTCCACACTTAAATCATTTAGAACAATCCTAAAGGTCTTTCATATGATATATATCTTATATGCTAGAAGAAAAACAAAGGGAAAGTTATGATAAGGTCATTACCTTAATTTTCACACTTTTTCCTAGCTTTTTCCTTCTTTAACTTCCTCCCAACTTTCTTGTTTGAGCTCTGCTCGAGTTTTGCTATGAAAGATGAAGTTGTAGAGATTCTTTCCTCCTTTCCCTTGGTGCTGTCCGAACTAGTGAGGAGGGGGATGGGTAGGAATGCCCCTTTGTCTCTATTTGGGCAATGAGTGAAAGAGAGGAGGGTCACCATGATTTGTTTTGATGCCAAACATCTCAAATCAGTCATCTCCCACCTCACCTCACATACCAGCCGACTCAAGCCTTGAATAATGTGGCTAAATTCGTGGGTTGGCCCTCACCCATGTGGGAGGTCAACCCTTTTTGTCCAGAAGTGTACAATCGGTCCTGAAAATTGTTTTTTCCAGACTGTTTTAATTACATTTTATTTTATCGGGTCAAATAAAATATAACGCATGTTCTGAATCCTTTTTGGACTTTATGATGAATATACATTTCTCAACTTTAATTTAGAAGTCTCCGAAATTCCTTTTCGGGCTGTTATCTCATAAATTGTCGATACTGATAATTTGGCCCCGTTTGACCAACCGGTCAACCCTATGCCATTGCCATGGCCCAATTAGGATATCCACCACCATATACATATTATCTAGGCCCAGATTAATATAATATGTGGTCCCGATAATATCGGGCGGCCCCCCACTTCCGGTGTGGGCCCCACGTGAATTTCACTATTCACGTAAAAGAAATGATAAAAAATTACAATCACGTAAAATGTGTTTATTCATTTCTCAGGGTTCAATACATAATTTGATAAAGTACAATTACTTGGGGGCGGTGTTACAAGTTCTACCCCCCTTATTTGGGATTTCGTCCCCGAAATCCACGTGTCTAATCAAAGATATTGTTCCCTCATCAGGGTCTCCACTTCCCAAGTTTGCTCCTCGACGTGATCACTCTTCCAAAGTAATTTTACCATTGGCACCTCTTTGCTCCTTAGCTTCTTCACCTGTCGGTCTATGATCTTTACCGGCTGCACCGTATAGTCTAGGTCTTCTCGGATTTCCACCGGTGGTTTCTCAAGGATATGTGACGGGTCCCGCACATACTTCTTGAGCATAGAAACATGAAACACATTGTGAATCTTCTCTAACTCTGGGGTCAACTGAAGTCGGTAGGCTACAACCCCAATCCTTTCAAGGATTTTGAACGGACCTATGTAACGTGGGTTAAGCTTACCCCGACTGAGGAACCTGATGATCCCTTTCCAAGGTGATACCCTCCTAAATACCTCGTCACCGACCTCAAACTCCAACGTCCTCCAACGTTTGTCAGCATAGCTCTTATGCCGGTCTTGGGCAGCCTTGAGCCTATCCTATATGACTTTTATCTTCTCTTTAGTGATCTCGACTAGCTCGGTGCCCTCGAGCTTACA